GGGTGCATTGGCTTAAGCCGGTAGGAGACTTGGACCTGTCTCGCATGGGCCAGTAGGCCTTCTGCAGTGTTCCTTCGTTCTTATGTTCTTATGGTCTTCTTATTTCCAAATGTATTGCGAAGATTGCCACTGCGAATTATGCTACTCAAGTTTAAGTGATGTTTGAATTTGACGCATTAAGTTCAACAATTAATCTTACATAATTACCATATTTAAAGTATTTTTTAGTTATCATAATTTAACTTTAAAGTTATTATTTGAACACTGTATTTCCTCCATTAAAGTGCCAATATTTACAAAACATTTGGGGGTTAGGTAGGTTCAGAAAATCAGTTGACAATTATAAGTCACATCACATTTTCAGGATGCTCCTCTCGTCGCTTCATCCCAGGACTTTGATAAGCTACAGTGATGCTGGTCTAGGCCTTTGTTATCAGTACTTTTGACTATCGTAATAATTAACCAACATAAATCCTTAAAATCAGTGCAAATTTAAATAGTTTTTAATACAGCTGCCTTTTTTTTATCCTCAAAGGTAGGGAAAGGATAACATAAGATTTGTTCGGATATTTAAGCCTCTTTAGAGGCCTAACATCCGAACTTCCTCTTTAGAGGCGTCACCGAGGACTATTTTGTTTCCATTGGGGTCCTTTAATCTTGCCCTACAGGATGCGAGCCACAACAGTCGACTAACACCCAGGTCCGTACTTACTGCTGGGTGAACAGGGACAGCAGCTGTATGGAAACATGTCCAACGTTTCCACCCATGCCGGGAATTGAATCACGGACACTCAGTGTGTGCGCGAGTGCATTGCCAACCGAGCCACAGGACACTAGGTAGGGTAACCCATTAAGGATGGGGGCAAACAGGAATCAGTGCACGGTGATCTAAAGAGGCAGGTTGACCCATCGAGGATGACCTACCCTTCCTAACATCAAAGGCAGATAAATACACCTACTCAACCTGACTTGCTCTATTCGTTCTACATCGCCAAGCCATCTGAACAAGTCTGCTTCCGCTCTTGTGAATTAATGCCTCAGTACCACCACTACACTCTTTTATTTTTTCAACTCTTTAGCTTCTATATAATTGATCTCAGACTTGACATTTCCACGGTCGCCAGTCTTCTCATTGCTGCAACTTTCATTTATCATACATCAGGCTAAAACTATGGCATCGGCACTGCTAAACTCTGGCACTGTTGCCCATCTAAATTTTTTTCGACACTTCACAGATTCATTATCTTTCCTGTTACATTCTTTCCCTCATCTATTCTGTGATTTAAATTTTGTAGTACGATATGCTGACTTGTATACTTTCTCCGTACTTTTAATTTCCAATCCAAAGTCCAAACTTTCTTTGACTACTTATTGTTTATAATGTTCTGTCATTATAAACAACATGCGTTTCAGTTTCCACCTTTTATAACATAAAATTCACTTATTTTAAAATCTCATTTACAAAGCTATTAAATTACCCCATTGGCATCCCACATTCCAGTTAAGATATACTTTTACTAGAAAAATACACGGTCTCACCTACAATACAATTACTTCAGGCTTCCTCTATTCATGAAAACTTTTTAACAGTGTTCAGCAACTTACCACCTATTTCATACATTTGCAACACCAACCGCAACGCTCCATTGTCATCCCCACCACGATCTATCTTTTCAAAATTAAGAAATCAATTAATCAGTTACTTTTCATCATCTAAATACTGTTCATTATTTGTGCTTCCTTGCAAACACTTGAGCTGCACTACGTCTCATTCCTTTCCTGTATTTAACTTAACCTTCTGCAGTTATACGTCCTGTAGCTGAGTGGTTGAAGGCCTCACGTTAGCAGCTAAGCCACATTTGTGAAAAGCTACCAAAGGGGTTTGAATCCTGTTGTCTGTGATATTTCTTTGTATATACTTTTGCTTGTGTTTGCGAGGTACATTAAGTATTTTATCACTATGGAAGTTAAAGCACATAAAGAGAACGGATGAAAGGTAAAGTTATAAAACTTTATGTTTAATGTCAACTTTAATAATAATGGTACTTCACGTCTAAAAGAAATGTCATTTGTAGGTTAGTTAATTCCTTATGTTTGAAGAGAGTCGACTTCTCGAGACACATTTTAAATCCATCTTTACACTAATATCGAATATATTCAAGTGCTTGAGAATAAGAGACTTAAATAAACTCACCCATTTCAAGGTGTACACACACTGAGCAAGACACCTCACGGCGTGTGTACAGAGATACGCACAACACTCAGTGATAACGCCCTATAATTTCATTTGTAGTTAACTGGTTAGATTTAAAAGTGAACCACTTCAAAGGAGGGGCCTGGATATTACTGAAGGGCTCTTGGTCATAAGAATTCGAACTGTCCTCTTTTTTTTTTCTTTAAACTTGATTATCTCTTGGAAATATAAACACAAATGCAGTATAATGTGATCCTTTATTGACAACGTTTCACCCACACAGTGGGCTTTTTCAAGTCACACACGGATCTACCTGGGGTTGGAAGGTACGAGAGTATTTATAGTCATGTTCAGAATGTTGAGGTCAGGTGGAGAATGCTGCATCTGATGATCTACCGGGTGGGGTTATAGAGTCTTGGGTAGCTTGGCAGGGGTATTGGACAAGTTGTAGACCTTCTGCAGTGTTCTATGTTCTTATGTGGGATAGCGATGAAGAAGTTTCTTGGCGAGTGGTTCAGCTATGTTATAGAAGTCATTGTTCTGGTTGAAATTGTTGGTTATAGAGATAAGCGATGATTCCAGGATTCTTCTGTATTGAGTGTTGTCTTCTGTGGCTATAAATCTTGAGTTTCTGTAGTTAATTAAATGGTTGTGTGAATTGCGATGTTGTACACAGGCATTCCTTGTATCGTCAGTCCTGCTTGCATATTGGTGTTCTGAAATGCGTGTTTGGAGGTCTCTTGATGTTTCGCCCACATATAATTTGCTGCAGTCATTACAAGGGATTATGTATACCCTTGCAGAGGATGGAGGCTTGTCCTGTCTACTACTGGTGATGTCCTTGATGGTCGTGGTTGTGGAGGTAGATACTTGGAATGATGTTTTGGTAAAGATGTTGGAAACATGTTTGGCAATGGAGTTGGTGGGGAGGACTATGTATCTCTTCTCGCAGTGTCTTCTCGGTGTGTTGAAGATGTTAATGCCGCTCTACGCAGTCTCTGATAATACCCAGGATAGTGGAGTTTAGAAAATAGAGATACATAGTCCTCCCCACCAACTCCATTGCCAAACATGTTTCCAACATCTTTACCAAAACATCATTCCAAGTATCTACCTCCACAACCACGACCATCAAGGACATCACCAGTAGTAGACAGGACAAGCCTCCATCCTCTGCAGGGGTATACATAATCCCTTGTAACGACTGCAACAAATTATATGTGGGCGAAACATCAAGAGACCTCCAAACACGCATTTCAGAACACCAATATGCAAGCAGGACTGACGATACAAGGAATGCCTGTGTACAACATCGCAATTCACACAACCATTTAATTAACTACAGAAACTCAAGATTTATAGCCACAGAAGACAACACTCAATACAGAAGAATCCTGGAATCATCGCTTATCTCTATAACCAACAATTTCAACCAGAACAATGGCTTCTATAACATAGCTGAACCACTCGCCAAGAAACTTCTTCATCGCTATCCCACATAAGAACATAGAACACTGCAGAAGGTCTACAACTTGTCCAATGCCCCTGCCAAGCTACCCAAGACTCTATAACCCCACCCGGTAGATCATCAGATGCAGCATTCTCCACCTGACCTCAACATTCTGAACATGGCTATAAATACTCTCGTACCTTCCAACCCCAGGTAGATCCGTGTGTGACTTGAAAAAGCCCACTGTGTGGGTGAAACGTTGTCAATAAAGGATCACATTATACTGCATTTGTGTTTATATTTCCATTGTGTAGGTATTTTATACCATTTATTTCCATTGATTATCTCTTATTCACAAGGCGATGTATGACCCCAAGAAATAAAGTTAGTGAAGAGAGTGAAGGGAATACACTGATAGATGTTAATGGAAGAGCACGAAGGACATTGAACGGCAAGAATGAAGGGACTGAAGAACACTGAATAACAACAGTGGAAGGGAAGGAGGTTGTAGAGAGATCCAGATCACTGATATATCCTGTGCTTTAGCGTAGATTTTATCAGTGAGGTCTGAGAAAGGTATGTTCTCTCCCCGCCTTCTTCCCTCGCATCTGCGCATTAAGAATGACAGTTGTGTTCTATGTCAGCGTAAAGGTGACTAAGCCATTGGTGGTGTAAGTAAAAACTGACGGTCACAAGGTTACGTGTACGTAAGTCATTGGCCTACGCAAGGTTGAATGAATGTTACGAAGACACTGGCGTACACAAGGTTGTGTGTAAGGTGTATGTAACTGGTGTATGTGAGGTTCAGTGTATCTAATGAATAAACTGACGTATACAATTCTGAGTGTATGTAAAGACAGTGACAGTCACAAGTTTGAGAACATGTCTAGAAGACACTGACATAAAGAAAGTCGAGTATATGATACTGATGTACACAAGGATGAGTGTACGACAGTGACATACACAAGGGTATATGTAAGCAAGGTAATGACGTACACATTCCCTACAGAAAGAAAAAGTGATCTTGCTGATATTTTTTTCGTGGGAATTTTTCTTTTAAGATAATCTGAAATAAAATAGGTTTTATACTAAGCGGAAAGGAGTGCACAAACAGTGTTGTTACCTTCAAAAATGGTTGAAAATTGTGTTATTTGAAAGAGAAGGTTAATTTCTGGAATTTAAAAGCAAGAAACTGTACAACAAGTGTGTTTCCCAGTGTGGAAGAGCAATTAGCTTTCACTAATGGAAGCGATTTTTTAATGCAGAAACAAGAAGATAAATCTAGGGAAATCCTGTATTTGGCAAATGCAACTCCTCTACAACTATAAGTTTATTAGGGAAATCAAAATAGATTACCTGTCAAGCGTTGCAGTCTGGTCTTGTGACGGAGAGAGACACAAGAGAAACACACACTGGCAGCACTAGTGAAGGTGCTGAGGCGGCGACCAGGTGAGCTGAGACAGGAACCCACTATGTCCTCTCTTATGTACCCTCTTGTAACTCCTCCCACAGGACTCCTAAACACAGGACTGATTCCACTGCCATATACTCCTCCTCCTAATTCAGACTTCTGTCACGCAAGACTTTCCCCTCTGTTTCCGAACTGTATTCTTCCACGGACTCCTTCAACCCCCGAGTTCTCCCTTACAAGATAACTTTAAACAGAATTGCTCACACGCAGGGATTCCTCCACCCCTGATTCTTCCTATTAAGGACTCCTCCCACCCCTGAGTTCTCTCACTTCTGACTCCTCCCACCCCTGAGTTCTCCCACTTCTGACTCCTCCCACCCCTGAGTTCTCCCACTTCTGGCTCCTCCCACCCCTGAGTTCTCTCACTTCTGACTCCTCCCACCCCTGATTCTCCCACTTCTGACGTCCTCCACCTAGTTCTCCCACTTCTGGCTCCTCCCACCCCTGAGTTCTCTCACTTCTGGCTCCTCCCACTTCCGATTCCTCCCACCCATATGTCCTCCCACTTCTGACTCCTCCCACCCCTGAGTTCTCCCACTCCTGACTCCTCCTACCCATATGTCCTCCCACTTCTGACTCCTCCCACCCCTGAGTTCTCCCACTTCTGACTACTCCCACCCCTGAGTCCTCCCACTTCTGACTACTCCCATCCCTGAGTTCTCCCACTTCTGACTCCTCCCACCCCTGAGTTCTCCCATGCTTACCTGGAGAATACCTGGAGAGGGTTTCGGGGGTTAACGCTCCCGCGGCCAGGTCTGAGACCAGGCTTGGTGGTGGATTGGGGTTTGTTCAACCAGGCTGTTACTGTTGGCCGCACGTAAACCGAAGTACGAACCACAGCCCGGCTAATTAGGTACTGACTTGAGGTGCTTGTCCAGCGCCTTCTTGAAGACAGCCAGGGGTGTATTGGAAATCCCCCTTATGTATACTGGGAGGCAGCTGAACAGTCTTGGGCCCCCGACACTGACTGTGTTGTCTTTTAGTGTACTCGTGACGACCCTGCTTTCAATGGGGAAATGTTCCATCTCATGACGAGTGTTTTGGTTTCGTAGGGAGTGATTTTCGTGTGTAGGTTTGGTACCAATCCCTCTAGGATTTTCTAAGTGTATATTATGATATATCTTTCTCGCCTGTGTTCCAGGGAATACAGATCAAGGGTCTTCAACCGTTCCCAGTAATTTAGGTGTTTTATTGTACTTATGTGTGTCGTGAAAATTCTCTGTACATACTCCAGGTCAGCAATTTCGCCTGCTTTGAAGGGGGCAGTTAGTGTACAGCAATATTCCAGCCTACAGAGAGCAAGCGTTTGAAGAGAATCATAGGCTTCGCATCCCTAGTTTGAAGGTTCTTATAATCCATCCTATCATATTCTTGCAGATGGGGTAGATTCATAGTTGAGATTCTCTGACATTATCATTCCCAAGTCCTTCACATCAGAATTTGTTTTATACTCTAATAAAGTTTTAATTTCCTCAAGTTTTCTATATCTGAGTAGTTGAAATTTCTCTTCATTTAACTTCACATTTTCTGTGGCCCATTTAAAGATTTGGTTGATGTCCGCTTGGAGTCTTGCGGTGTCTTTGATGGAGGTCACTGTCATGGCAATTTGGGTGTCATCCGCAAAGGAAGACTCGGAGCTATGGCTTACATCTCTGTCAGATATATGTATTAAGACAGAGCGCCTACCACCCTTGAATCCTCCCATAATTTCTCCCCATTCCTGGTGTTATGGGTTTTCTTTATTGCCATTGCTATACTTTTGTAACCCATTATGCCGATTGTTAGGCACTTGGAGTACATAATTGTTTAAAAACCTCGATAATCTTCTAAGCATTTATGTTATCTCATATTGTACATAATAATGAATAGTAATATGACGATATGTTAACATGTTGAAAAGTAATAGGAAGGTGAATGTGCTTCCATTCCGGTGCAACTGCCTGGGCTCGACCGCTACTCTCCTCGTACAGTCACTCCTGGACTTGCAACACTGCTTCTGTCATAAAGATTATAAATATTATAAGCATGGGGAGCGCTAAACCCGTACCATTGTACAGCTCACGTAAGAGGGGGGAGGGGGGGATGGAAGGTATTCAGACTCAATTCAGGGAACTGGAGCACAAATCTAATTCCTTAGATCAAGAGCCCATCACCACCGTCAAGGTACCTTCCTTGAGGGGTCTGTCAGTAAGAAGGAAAGATGTCTCTGCCTCTGACCTTCATTCAGATCTTGGTGGTTGTCCCACCATTTCCCAGGCTGACAGTGGTCTGTTGTGGACTGCTACACTGGTTGGACGTCCTGGGCAAATGCTGTCCTCTCCATCAAACACAGACATACACATTATGTCTGTGCTTGATGGAGAGGGTAGTATTGTGTTGCACTTAATGATTTGTGTGTTGTGTTTGCACACTGGTATTTTGTGTTGATTTGTTCGCACCATTATTCTTGATTGGACTTTATATTTACATCTTGAAGCTGTTCAGAAGTGGCATAGTCAAGTTATTGTACAACAAAATATTACCCCATTTTGCTAATATATTTAGCATATTGGTTCATGTATACTTTAGTAACAGTTCCTAACTTCTATGTAGGATTACACCAGTGTTGAACATTTGAAGGAACTCAGTAAAGGTTTTCTCACTGAAAGGAAATGTTATGAAATACCAACACGATGGATAAAGACACGAATGCAATGTAATGGTATTCTTTATTGACAACGTTACGTCACACAGCGGGACAAACACGTCCGACACGAATTGTCAAAGCTCAATGAGTGGGCGAGAAGTCGTAAACAAAGGCTCGCCTTCTACCGCATTTCTCCAGTTATCTCACAGAATTCATATCTGAATGAGAGTTCATGCAAAATTGATCACACAATAATTGTGTAAAACTTTCACTACTTTTATTTATTTATTTATTAATTTGAACATGATACAGAGAAGTACAAAAGAATACAGTTAAATGCAGCATGCCAAAGCCACTTGAATGCATAGCATTACTGGCAGGCTTAAAATTAACTTAAGATTAACTAAGCAATGAAGTATTCAGTGGTAAAACATTATTGTAAACAGATAACAATTAAGCACAAATGAGTATTACAAAAACAGGTCGTATGGTTGCTTGCATTGCTGTACAATCAGTATTTATTTATTTATTTAATTTGAACCTGATACAGAGAAGTACAAGGAATACAATTTTTAAAGTGCAACATGCCAAAGCCCTTTGTATGCAGAGCATTATGGGCAGGCTTAAAATTAACTTAAGATTAACTAAGCAATGATATATTCAGTGGTACAAAAATTATTGTAAAACAGGTAACAATTTAGTACAAATGAGCATTACAAAGACAGGTCATATGGTCATTTACTGTGTTGCTGTGTAATCACTAGAATGGAGTATTATGTTAGGTAATAAAGTTAAATAGTAACAAAGTTTGATTGGGTCACAGGTTGACATTTATGAGATACAATTTATGAGATACTTGAGTATGAAGCTTATAAATGAAACATTTATGCAACATTTGGGTATTTTTATTCTGGAAACGTTTTGCCAATCACTGACAGGCGAAACACACACACCCACACACACACACGAGCACACACACCTAGTGTCTAATCGACATGTGCCTACGACAATGTGGTAACACGTACACACACCAAACACACGCACACACAACACACACACACACACACACACACACATGCACACACATATACAACAGGCCTAGTGTCTAATCGACATGTGCCTAGGACAAAATGGAAACTAACAAGCACACGCACGCGCGAACACACACACACAATATATATATATATATATATATATTATATATATATATATATATATATATATATATATATATATATATATATTACATATACATTCGTTAATATCACGTAACACTTTTTTGTATTTCCAAACTGTGTACAGTGACCTGTTAGGGAAAAGTGTCGAATGTAAAATTAAGTTACCTTACCTGATTTCTTCAGCCATGGCCATGGTTAACTGTTTTTACATACATCTGTACACAGCAATGAAGCACCATCTCTCAAAGTGCTCCAACGTTCATTCTTTATTATCACCATGGCCTTATACGCTGTGCAGGTAAGAGATACTGGTTAATGCTTGCCGTCAGCCAAATGTTTGGATGGCTGGGATGTCTGCCACTATACTGGCTGCCTTCCAAGTCCCTTGCAACACCCTCTGTCTCTAGTCATTGTATATCCTTGCAAGTTGCTATTTCTTAGTCATTAAATAACACTGATAATACTGTACAGATAAGAATCACGTGTGCACCACATTTCTACACATCTTACAATCACGCATACATTACTACACATCTTACAATCACTCATACAGCACATTACTACACATCTTACAATCGCTCATACATTACTACACATCTTACAATCACACATACAACACATTACTACAAATCTTACAATCACTCATACAACACAACTTATTAATACACAACTCACAATCGCTTATGAAACACATTATCACACACATCACAATCACCCATATATTACCACACAGCTCACTATCATTTATACAACAAGTCACAACACAACTCTGTGGTCTTAACTGCCATTTCCGTACATCTCGGAGGTGGTGGTCCACTAATGTGGTCTTCACAACAAGGTCTGTGTATCTCAGAAATGCTGTATGTCAATGTGATTTTAGCGACCATGTCTCTGTTAATTAGTAATTCCTGGCTGGACAGAGGCTGATGACCGAGACTGAATACGTCCGTTAGCCTCTCCTCGTTGTTCATACGTACTCCTTAGCTATGCGTGTGTGTACTCACTTATATGTACTCATCTGTAAGTGGTTACAGGGGTCTACTCTCAGCTCCTGGCCCGCCTCTTCGCTAGTCGCTACTAGGTCACTCCCTGCTTCATGAACTTTATCAAACCTCGTCTTAAAACTTTGTATGGTTCCTTCCTCCACTAGGTCACTTTCCAGACTGTTCCACTTCCTGACAACTCTGTGACTAAAGTAATACTTCCCAACATCTCTGACTCATTTAAGTCTTCAAGTTTCAATTGCGACCCCTTGTTTCTGCGTCCCATCTCTGGAACATACTCTCTCGTCCACCCTGTTGTTATCATGTCTCCCCTAACCCTCCTGT